GTCGGAAGGAGGGACTTTGTAGAAAACGAAGCGTTTGAGAGAGGCGGGGCATAGAGGACCTACAATAATGTAGTATTTGAAAAATAATGTTTTTTGAACATTAAAGCATGTCAACATATTCTGTTACACCAAATACACAAAATAATGATCTTTAAAAAAGCATCATATGACCCCTTTAACATCTTACTGTCACTTTGAAGGATTTTAATATATATGACTTTTGAAGCATATTAGTCTAGATGTTTTAAACCTAAGCCTAACATTAACCAGTTGGAAAATGTTAAACTCTATAAGCCTTGATGATTTGAATGATTGATTTCACTTTTAGATAAGCTAATTTGAACAAGTCTCACTTTTATTTAATAAATCTAATTCTAAAAAAGTCTAAAACAAGTTTTTTTTCCCTGTAGAAGTTACGCGTTTTAGATTATTAACAGCAGTCCACAAAACAACATTTTTTCTGTTATGTATATTTTATGAAATTTTATGTTATGAACATTTTTATTATTGTTTTATAGATATGTATTTGATTGTTTTAATGTTATATTCATAGCTTTCCCAGACTAGATCCCCAGTCCTTTATCTCGGTATGAGGACTTCCTGTCGGGAAAGACTCCACAGCACCATCATCACCGTTCAGTTCCCAAACAAACTTTACCAACTCACACTCAATCCGCAACTTTTCCTCCAGCACCCTCCATTCCCGCTGGGAAAACAAAAGCAGAAATGTCCCCTCCGTCCGCACGGCTTCAAACCAAACCCGTGATAACATGTCTGAAGACGTTTCTGTTCTCGTACAGTCTGATTTTCTGGGTGAGTTTGTGTTTTCATCAGATTTGCCGTTAGCTTGAGGCGGCTATCAGCACAGCTAACTCACTCTGAACAATGGGCTCAGTCAACGAACAGTTCTAACTCTTAGTGTAATCCTAGTTCAGATTTTTAAGATTTCTTTATGAAAAATAAGATACATTTCTAAACATCATTTAGATGTTTATTTATCTTCTGATTAGCAAAAATACTTACAAAAAGATTTACACAGATCCTCTCGATTACCTTTTATTGTTACCGGCTTGCTTAAGGATGCGTCGAATAATTGTCGATTTTCCCAGCATTTTAAATTTATATACCAAAAGTATGAAATTAAACTTTAATTTTGGGATATAGGTTCAAATGTATTAAAGACGAAGAAATACGAAATTTCGCTGCCTTGTGTAACGTTACTTTGCCAAGAATAGTCACAGCTGTTTTGATCGCTGTTCAAATATATTGATCTACAGCGATTCAATAAGGGAACTGATATAAACCATTCATCAAACGTGGCCTAAATGGGTGCGAAGTCCGATACAGCACTTTTATCTCGACTATTTATTGCTATTCACTGTGATTTTCAGCTGGCAGGGGACAGATGGTCATGTTTATAAAGTGGATAAAGTAATAGTCCCAAGACTCAGACCCAATCAGTTGCTAATGATCGAAATTATAACTGTTGTCATTTATTTACCCTTGGCAGTAATACACATCAACAAATAGTAAATAGGCTTGTCACTGCACTAGTGTTGTCACGGTACCAAAATTTCAGTATTCGGTACCGATACCAGTGAAAATCCACGGTTCTCGGTACCAATTTCGGAACCAAAGCAAAACACAAAAACATGCTAATTGAACAACATTTTTATTGAATTACAACTAACTAACTAACTAACTAAAAAAAAAACAAAAAAAAAAACAACAACTTTATCTGACGGACTGATATGAAATAAACACTATATGACATAAACACTGTTAACTATACATTTGTACAAAAACAACCCGCGGCAACCGTGTTAAAGCAGTTCAATTTCGCGGGAAAACCGCAGACTTGGCAACACTGGAAGAGGATAGCTTTCGGATAGCGCATCAAGAACCGGGTTGACCGGCTACTCGGTACCACCGGTACTTAAGAAAACTTGGTACCGTAACGTTTTCATTTTTTTAGTACCGACTTGGTACCGAAATATCGGGTCTTTTGACAACACTACACTGCACCAAATTATTATCAATTGAAAAAAAAACGTACAGGTTTCAAAGTCATCAATATCATAGCATAACATAAATTAATAACTCCATTCTACAACTACTATAAAATATCCATCTTTATCCACATACATATGTTTAACTTTATGTATGTACTATATCAGGGGTGGCGAACGTCGGTCCTGGAGAGTTTTGCTTCTACCCTAATCAAACACACCTGAACAAGCTAATCAAGGTCTGAAGGGTTACTAGGAAGCTACAGGCAGGTGAGTTTTTATTAGGGTTGGAGCTGAGCTCTGCAGGACTGCGGCTCTCCAGGACCGGAGTTCGCCACCCCTGTACTATATAGTTAATCTCAACTGCATGATTAATTAAAGGGGTCATATGATGCGATTTCAATTTTTCCTTTCTCTTTGGAGTGTTACAAGCTCTTGGTGCATAAAGAAGATCTGTTAAGTTGCACCAATCACAATGCACTGGGTCAGCTGGCCAATCAGAGCAGACTGCTCTTGTCAAAGGAGGGGGCTTTGTTGAAAACGACGCTTTTGAGAGAGGCGGGGCATAGAGGACCTACAATAATGTACAGTATTTGAAAAATAATGTGTTTTTTGAACATTAAAGCATGTCAACATATTCTGTTACTCCAAATACACAAAATAATGATCTGTAAAATAGCATCATATGACCCCTTTAATGTCACAAAATATAAACTATATTATCATCCAGTTCAAATCTGCTAAATGTGACTATAAGATATGAAGTATATTAAGATATAATACACATTAACATCATGTTCTTCTGTAAAGTCACTTTAAACAATGTGTATTTGTGAAAAGCGCTATCCAAAATGACTTGACTTGACTTTTATTTATTTTGACCAGTTTCTAAATAGGTCAAGGCTTGTATTTGCTCACAGCAGTTAGAAACTGGAAACTCCCAGATTTCCTGTTTTTATTTAATGCTGTAAACTGTCCGAGTTTTGAAGCTGAAGTGTAATTAGAAGGTTTGCAAGGGTAGTATTAAGAATGGGGATGGGCAAGACACAGTGCCATAATCCCTCAGGCAAAACCATAAACACTTCTCGAATATGTCTGAGAGTTTTTAACTTTTCTTGTAGTTCACAGGAGTGATCTTGTTGGCTGTTGGAGTATGGGGAAAGGTTAATTTGGAGTTTGACCTCCTCCTGACTTCAGACAAGGGCACCAATGCACCATATGTCCTCATTGGGACCGGAGCCGCCATCATCATCTTCGGGTTGTTCGGTTGCTTTGCTACCTGCCGTGGAAGTCCATGGATGCTGAAGCTGGTCAGTTCTAGAGATTTCAAAACTGAGAGTGATAAAATTCATAAATGTGGGAGTAGTTGCAGCACATTCTATGTATACGTTACACTTATAAAAAAGCACAGATCCTCTTATATGACACAGAACTGACCTGTCATGAAAAATTGCTAGTTTACATTTGATGTTCGCTTAAAAAATGGTCATTTAAGCCCTCAACCCTGTCAAGGAAAAAAAGAGAGAAAAAATCTTTAATTTATATTTTGAGATGCAAACAGGTAATGGGTAAAAAAAAGGTGAGAACATTGCGTGGATCGGGAGCATGCTCCACATGGATATTTGCTTTACATGCTCATTTGTAGTTACTTTGTTTTTGTTTTATATATATATATATATATATATATATATAATATTTATTTATTACCTGTAATTTTTATAAACTGTAATTTTTCACACAAAAAAAAAAAAATCTTGATGCAACATTTTACAAAAATCAAGATTAAATTTATTTGGTTGAAATCCCA